GACTTCTTCCTGGTTTAGACTTGAGAGGATACAAGTGTCCAGGAATTTATCCATTTTTTCCATGTTTACTAGTTTATGTGCATAGAGTTGTTTGTAATAATCTCTGATGATGGTTTGAATTTCTGTGGAATCTGTGGTGATATCCCCTGTATCGTTTTTTATTGCATCTATTTGATTATTCTCTCTTTTTTATTACTCTGGCTAGTGGTCTGTCTATTTTGTTGATCTTTTTTGAAAAACCAGCTCCTGGATTTATTGATTTTTTGAAGGGTTTTTTGTGTCTCTATCTCTTTCAGTTCTGCCCTGATCTCAGCTATTTCTTGTCTTCTGCTAGGTTTTGAGTTTTTTTGATCTTGCTCCTCTAGCTCTTTCAATTTTGATGATAGGGTGTCAATTTTCGATCTCTCCTTGCTTCTCATGTGGGCATTTATTGCTATATATTTTCCTCTAGAGACGCTTTAAATGTGTCCCAGAGATTTTGGTATGTTGTGTCTTCATTGTCATTGGTTTCAAATAACATCTTTATTTCTGACTTCATTTCATTGTTTATCCATTCAACATTCAAGAGCCAGTTGTTCAGTTTCCATGAAGCTGTGCGGTTCTGAGTTCATTTCTGAATTCTGAGTTCTAACTTGATTGCACTGTGGTCTGAGAGACTGTTTGTTATGATTTCCTTCTTTTACATTTTCTGAGGAGTGATTTACTTCCAATTATGTGGTCAGTTTTAGAGTAGGTGTGATGTGGTGCTGAGAAGAATGTATATTCTGTGGATTTGGGGTGGAGAGTTCTGTAAATGTCTATTAGGTTTTCTTGGTCCAGGTCTGAGTTCAAGTCCTGGATATCGTTGTTAATTTTCTGTCTCATTGATATGTCTAATATTGACAATGGGGTGTTAAAGTCTCCCACTATTATTGTGTGGGAGTGTAAGTCTCTTTGTAAGCCATTAAGAACTTGCCTTATGTATCTGGGTGCTCCTGTATTGGGTGTGTATATATTTAGGATTGTTAGCTCTTCTTGTTGCATTGATCCTTTTACGATTATGTAATGTTCTTGTCTCTTTTGATCTTTGTTGGTTTAAAGTCTATTTTATCAGAGACAAGAATTGCAACTCCTGCTTTTTTTTGCTCTCCATTTGCTTGGTAAATCTTCCTCTATCCCTTTATTTTGAGCCTTTGTGTATCCTTGCATGTGAGATGGGTTTCCTGGATACAGCACACCAATGGGTTTTGGCTTTTTATCCAATTTGTCAGTCTGTGTCTTTTGATTTGGGTATTTAGCCCATTAACATTTAGGGTTAATATTGTTATGTGTGAATTTGATACTGCCATTTTGATGCTAGCTGGCTGTTTTGCCCATTAGTTGATGCAGATTCTTCGTTGTGTTGATGCTTTTTACCATTTGGTATGTTTTGGAGTGGCTGGTACTGGTTGTTCCTTTCTATGTTTAGTGTCTCCTTCAGGAGCTCTTGTAAAGCAGGCCTGGTGGTGATGAAATCTCTGAGTACTTGCTTGTTTGCAAAGCATTTTATTTTTCCTTCACTTATGAAGCTTAGTTTGGTTGGATATGAAATTCTGGGTTGAAAGTTCTTTTCTTTAAGGATGTTGAATATTGGCCCCCACTCT